AAGAGAGAGAGAGAGAGAGAGAGAGAGAGAGAGAGAGAGAGAGAGAGAGAGAGAGATTATCACTCGTTGGCAAGCCCCGCGGCATAAATAAACGAAACGAGTCCTTTTCAAAGTATGCACTCGGACGCATCTCTCAGCTCCTCTACAGCACGGCATCTTTCTTCTCTTTTTCACTTACTCTCTGTCTTTTACTCTTGTCTTTCTGTCTCTCGAGGGAGCGAAAAAGTCTTCAGAGAGATTTTTCAAGGCTTGTCTTTTATGAACATACTGGCGGCACTTGAACAAGGGATTCGTAGAGGGAGAAAATGTAATGGCAGAGAAAAGACGAGTGACTTTGTAGAAACAAAATAAACGCATGGCCGGGGTGAGGCGTCGTATCGAAAAAGAGAGAGAGAGAGAGAGAGAGAGAGAGAGAGAGAGAGAGAGAGAGAGAGAGAGTGAAAGACATACGCGAGGGAGACGTCGTTTGTCGACCGAGAGCTCCGCGTAGCAAGTGCTTTGCTAGCTTTAGGCTTTCCCAGCTTCTTTTTTCATTTCGTTTTTCACCAAGGCTAGCTAAATTCGTTCTTTTTTTTCCTTATCTTCTTTTTTATCCTTTTTTTTTCCCACGTTGAAGAATAAATTTTAGTTATAGGCAGGTTATTAACTAGATTGCTGTTGGTACTTGAGGTAACAACGCGGATAAACGTATTTTTCCTTTACTCGGCAAAGAACAGTATTAAATAATTATTCTTATCGCATAATACGTTGTTCCATTAAAAGCATTAAAAGCAAAACCACGATTTTGGCTAATAATTATGTGTAACGAGTTATAATTTAGCGAATATTGCATTAATGTAGATGTAAGATTTGCGCCGAAGAAATGTACCGTATCAACGTGATACGTTGGAAAGTTAATCGAAGACAAATAAAAAATCTGTGTCAACGAAGCACAAACTTAATCTGAAATGTATAATAAAAATTATAATAATGTAAGATTTAATATGAAAATTGATATAAAATGGGCTTTATAATGGTATGGTGAACAAATTGCACGAGAAGCAGAAGAATTTGCCAAAACGAAGTGAAGTATTTGAGAGAAAATGTATTTGGCCCCGTCGTTTGTAGGATAATTTGCTCCGTTGAAACCGATAGGACTGTCAGCGAAACATTATTAACAAAAATCCTTCATACGACATTCTTCTTTAAGGAATTAATATACCTTAAATATCCATTACTCGATAGTCGCATATAAAACAACAATAGGGAGTTCCGATTATCAGCAGGTAAATAATTAAATCACAACATCGGGCACAATGACGCGAGTAGTTTGTATCGTTTGATCAAGGCGAGAGACGCGGATGTTTCCTCTTCGAATTATTATTCCGGATGATGTAAAGTCCTTCGCGCGCTGCCGAATGTCACTTTGGTCCAATGAAAACAACATTGGCGCGCCAAAGGAGCTGCTCGACGAGGACACAACGAGAGGAGCTCGTACAATAAGAGTCGTGGAAAGGAAAAACGTGGAGGAATAAGCGAGAGAGCGGCGAGAGCGGCGAGAGCCGAAAAGGTCCCGGAAGGTTGCTAATCTCGCGGGTGCGAGGAGTAAGGCGCGCGAAAGCTACATCAGAATGTAGCGTAAGGCCGCGTAGGCGGAAAGCTACCTACGTACGCGTACGTAGTGCGGCGACGAGGGCAAATGCTTTCCTGGCCCGTTGGCTCTTGCGTGAGTCCTCCTTGGGCGAGTGGTGGTCCGTTGTCCCGGGGACGCTCGGCCGATACACGAGCTATTATCGAGGCCCGCGGGATGAGAGGACAAAGCTGCTGTGGCTGCCGGACGTCGGAAGGGAAAACGGGTGAGATGATGACTCACGTGTAAAAAGCGACGCTGCGAGCGAGTGAAGCAAAGGAGGAGGAGAAGGAGCAGATGATGAAAGAGAAGGAAGGCCGCTAGGACTTTTCCCCCGTGAACTGGTCGTTGTCGCTACCGTAGCTGTCGCCGCTACTAGAAAAACAACAACTACGGCGACGACGACAACAACGGCACCAGCAACAGCAAC